CCCTAAGGGTCCATGTCCCCAAGTAGTATACACTTAATTTGGCCTCGAAGTAGTCCCTATATAGGTACTTTGGGGCCAAAGTATATAAGTTGGGTACATGGACCCTTTGGGTAGAGTTTAGAGGTGTAGGTTTTCTGGCCTCTTCAAGCGCCTATAAGCCTAGGCTCAAGCTCTTGCTTCGTTACTTCTGGTGAACAGTTAGAGCATCCGAAGGAGCCAACATGAAACGTCGAGATGCAGTCATTCGGTCTGGTTGAAACCGTTATGCCTCGAGGCCCAGAGGCTCAATGCTACAGGACCCTGGTCCAAACACCCGCAGCCCTCAATTTTAGGGCTTAGCGTCCAGGGTTCAAACCGAACACAAAGACAAAGAGGTTAAGGTTTCAGTGGCTAGTGGCCGACCCAAGATCTCAGATGTGCTTGCCACCCGAGCCCTTAACCGACAAAGGTGTTCGGCATGTGGATACGGCCGCAGAGTATAACACTGAAGCTGCGGTCGCCGAAGGACAAGCTGCTTTGGTATGGGGACCTCAACAATTTTAACAGGGCTTGGGGCAAGGATATAGTAGAAGTAAGACTCAAGACCGGGCCTGTCTACCCGAGGGGCCAAGTATCTAGATTCATGTAGGCTTTCTAAGATTCTAAATGCGGAATTAGTAGTATCATGATTTGGGGAAGTATCCGCCATAACAGTACCTAGGACCCTTATGTGCCTGGCAACGCCTTACGACCTTAAAAGTTACGGATCTGAGCTTGTTTGCCGCTGTGGGTCTGGGTTCATACTTTTTCCCCTGGGCTACTAATTCGCGCTTCATAGACACCAAGCCCTACCCTAAGAACCCAAAACCCACTTTTTTGTAGGTTCCTATTATAAACCCTAATATGGGATTTATAGGGACCCTACAAAAAAGTAGGTTTTGGGTTCTTAAGGTATAGCTTAACCCCTCCCTGAACTTGGGGTTCGCTTTTTGTAAACCCTAATCCCTTAAACCCTAAACCTGAACTTGTTCTCGGAAGCTCCTACTTTTCTCAAAATCTCAGGGATTTGTGGCTTCCAGGGCTCACCTATAGTCTCCATTGAAGTTCCTGTTTTGGTTAGCCAACTTCATGGTGAGGATCCTACAATATAAATATAAAGTTGGTTAACCAAAAACAGGAACTACAATGGAGACTATAGGTACCATTAAGCTACCATGGAGCTTAACCTTTTGGTGTAGGCTTCGAGTTTCGGGTTCAGGGTTTAAGCTTTAGAGCTGCCTTGTGCATGGTTTAGGAAAACGTGGGCACCCCAAGCTATTGCTGTTCGCCAAAACACGTCCCCATTCGCGGATCTGATCTCGATGTCCCCTACACCCTAAGCCCTAAACCCGTCGTCATGAAACCGCCAACTCTGAAGCCTTGAACCTCCCTTGAGCCCTATAAACCCGAATACAAAACCACAAAAACAGGTCGGCAAACTCAGAAATTTATCGTATCCCCCTGTATCACCTCAGAGTTCCTGAATCAATCATAGCATAGCAAAATCAAAAAAATCCCTAAACCCTTAAACCCTAAGACCTTATCGTTGCTATTACAGCTCCTCTTTACCCAAGCAGCCGCGTCCTAAAGCCGAACCGTCGGTCGGCACGAGACTCGAGTCCCTGGTGCTTAGGAAAAAGGAAGTGACCAAAACAAGCGAGCCTTAACCCAACGGGTCCATGTACCCAACTAGTATATATATATATATACTTTCACCCCAAAGTGCCTATACAGGGACTACTTCAAGGCCAAAGTGTATACTATTTGGGTACATGGACCCTTAGGGTCATGCAGAGGTTTGAATAAATGCTCACAGTCCCTCTCATGGTCCCTATGCAGAAAATAGTAAGCCCAAAGGGCGAACCCAAATTCCGTAAACCTTACACCCTGGCCCTAAACCCTGGCCCTAAACCCTAAACCCTGAACCCTAAACCGTAACCCCAGGTTCCCCAAACCTTAAGCCATCTAACGAAAACCCTGAACCTCATCTTAAACCCTAAACTTTAAACCGCAAAAGCTATGCGCCGTGAGGGCTCCAGAAAGCTGGGGTGCCCAGGGAGGAAGTCTTCGTGAACCTGAAGGCGCTACGGTGGTTTAGGGGGTTTAGGGCTGAAGGTTTAGGGTTTAAGGTTTAGGGTTCAGGGTTCGGGGTTTAGGGTTTCAGGTTTAAGGTTTGAGGCTTAAGGTTCAGGGTTTAGGGTTTAAGGTTTGGGGTTTCGGGTCCAAGGTTTAGGTTGGCAGGCACAGGGCTGAGGGTATAGCCTTCAGGCTTTCGAGGTTCAGGGTTGAGAGGTTTTGAATTAGGGTTCAGGGTTTAGGGTTTAGGGTTGAGAGGTTTTGAACTAGGGTTTAGGGTTTAGATTTGGGGAAAACTATACCTATGGGTAGAAAGGTCACTTCCCTCATCGCAAACAGTGTTCGATGATGGACCGGTCATTTAGCACGTATGTGCGCGGCCATGGCAATGTAATTATGCAGGTGGGTGTTGTCGATGGATGTTCTGCGCTGTTTAAACTGCTTCCTATCTGTTAGAGTACAAAATGTCCGTGTTCATCTATGCAATGCCTGTTTTGACTCTCGGGGTTTCGGTTCGGTTCTTCAGAATTGATGACCCTTGGTATTGCTGCGCAGAAGGTACAGGGAGGGACGTTTGCTCTTGGAAAACACGTGCGCCGATTGGCAACCCAAACCCTCCAAGATTGATTTTT